AGCACCATATAAACAAAAAGAAAAAAGCCAGAAGTGGCACTGTGGCTCAAGTGGTAGAGTGCTAGCCTTGAGCTGAAGAGCTGAAGGACAGCGCCCAGACCCAAAGTTCAGGCCCCATGACCGGGCCCCCCCCCAAAAAAAAAGAAATGTACTCATTATCTTACCCATGTAATTGTAACCCCTCTGTACAGTATTTTCACAATAAAAAAAATTTTTAAATGATTATGTTGACCTAGCCCTGTGTGGTGACAATTAAATGTAGCTACAGAATGGAAGTCAAGCAGCTTTTTTTTTTCTTTTCAATTTTTTGGTGCTAGTACTGAGGCCTGGAAGCTGTTCATTAGCTATTTTGCTCAAGGTTGGTACTCTACCTCTTGAGGCACAGCTTTGCTTCTGGTTTTTTGGTGATTTATTGGAGGTAAGTAACTAGGATTACAGGCATGAGTCACAGAGGTGGTATTATGGAATGCTTTCTTGGAGAGCAGCAGGCCTCCTAAATATTAGTACCTTAGCAGTGGCAACAAAACGAACCACAGGCATGCCAAGTAATACTGGGCTCATAGGCAAGGTTTAGCTCAGTTTCCTGATTTCCTGTTGGTTCAGTTCTCACAGGAGCAAGAGAGGTTCTGTCTTGGCCAGAAGATGGAGGAAAAAGAAGATGGAGGAGGTGAATCAGGGGGATGATAGAACAAGGAGCAGCTCCATAAATGATCGTCAGTGATCATCACTGGGGTGGGGAGATTCCCACCTTAAATGTATGCCTCCCTCCCCCATCTTCCCATCCCTTCCAGCATATTATTTCTACTCATGGAGCTTCATTCTCTCCCTCTGTGCTGGCTTCCTTTCCATCAACCTTTAAATGTGTTAACCACGTTATTATTTCCTTATTTATGCCTCTGGCTAAGTAAGCCTTCTTTTATCAAACTTCTGGCTCCCTAGAGCTGGTCTTTCACTTTCAAGACAATTGTTGTTGTTGTTAAGTGTGTGTGTGTGTGTGTGTGTGTGTGTGTGTGTGTGGTTTTGCCCTCCTTTTCTATCTTCATGCTGGGGAAGGAACTCACAGCCTCAAGCATGCCAGGTAAGTGCATTACCACTGAGCCATATTTCTTTTTTTTTTTTTTGGGTCCGGTCATGGGGCCTGAACTCTGGGCCTGGGCGCTGTCCCTCAGCTCTGCAGCTCAAGGCTAGCTGAGCCATATTTCCATAGCTAACTGACCTTTTTAAGAATTCCTGCCACATGGGCTGGGAATGTGGCTTAGTGGTAGAGTGCTTGCTTAGCATGCATGAAGCTCTCGGTTTGATTTCTTGGTACTACACACAGAGAAAAAGCTGAAAGTAGCACTGTGGCTCAAGTGGAAGTGTGGTAGCCTTGAGCAAAAGAAACTCAGAGACAGTACCTAGGTCCTGCATTCAAGCCCCATGACTGGCAAAAGAAAAAAGAAAAAAAAAAACCTCTTCTATAGTTGACCAGCATGCTCCACCTCCACTTCCTCCCATGTTACCACCCTGAGGCTGACCTTCCTTATCCCCACTCCACAGAAACAGCCTGGCAGAGGCCACCAGTGACTTCATTGACTCTGTGGCCCTTACCTCATTTGAACTCTCATTTACAATCTTGACCACTCCTTTAATGTCTGCTGCCTTCCTAATTGCCTTCACATGCTCCACATATATTTGCTTTTGAAACAAGGCCTTGTCGTGTACGTACCTCAGGCTGGCCTGAGGGGAAAAAAAAATTTTTTTTTGGTTGGTCAGGTGGCTTGAACTCTGAGCTTGAGCACTGTCCCTGAGCTCTAGCTCAAGGCAAGGGCTCTACTACCTTGAGCCACAAGGCCACTTCCAGTTTTCTGGTGGGTTTATTGGAGATAAGAGTCTCACAGACTTTCCTGCCCAGGCTGGCTTTGAATCACTTTCCTCAGAGCTCATCCTCCTGAGTAGCTAGGATTACAGGAGTGAGCTACTGGCACCTAGTTTGGCCTGAGGAATTTACTATGCAGATAGACTCAAACTCTACCAGATTCTACTCAGACTTTGACCTCTGACTCCCTTTGTGTCACTGCTTTGTAGGGACCTACCCTCAATTGTGTTTTTCCTCACTTTATATACTTTCCTAGGGCAAACCAATCCCCCCCAAATAAAGCATATTCTTTTTTTTTTAAATAAAGCATATTCTGAAATTAGGACTTTAACACATGAAATTTTGGGGAGGAAAGATAGGAAAACTTTACCCCTATGACCAGATGCTGCTACTTTGAAATACCCAATCTGAAAAGAACAAAAAAACAAGCAAACAAAACCTTACAACGATTCTGATAGTATTTTCCTTTAGAGCCTTTCAATTGCTCCCCATTGCTTCCAAAGTAAATCTGAGTTGGGGTAAATGTTAAGTGACTTTATGTCTATACTGCCTTACATTTTTGGGATCCTTTAATGTTCACCCAATGTTCTTTTTTTTGGGGGGGGAGGTCCTGTTGTGGGGCCTGAACTCTGGGCCTGGGCACTGTCCCTCAGCTCTTCAGCTCAAGACTAGCACTCTACCACTTGAGCCACAGTGCCACTTCCAGCTTTTTTCTTTTTGCTTATGTGGTGCTGAGGAATCGAACCCAG